TACCTCAAGCTTGAATAAGAGTAGAAGGAAAGAGATGAGGCTATCGAGACTTCGTATCGGCCTCGGCATCCCAAGTAGCACCCTCAACTAAATGATTTCTCCATAAAACCTTCACGGAAGCTATTTCCTTATTTCTTAATCTCTTGACTTGCCGGTCAAGGATCTCTACCGGAACCTTTTCATATGAAAGACTTTCATCGATTCCCAACCCTTTTAGGGTAATAATGGATACCGAATCTTCAATACACTTATTAAGCATAGAAACATGAAATACCGAATGAACTGGACTAACTCATTTGGCAAATCCAACTCATAGGCAACTTTACCAACTCTTTTCAAAATTTTATAAAGGCCAACATACCGGGGACTAAGTTTTCCTTTCTTGCCAAATCTCATCACACCCTTCATGGGTGAGATTTTCAAATAGACCCAATCATTAACTTCAAATTCTAGACCCCTTCTTCTCACATCAGCATAAGACTTTTGTCTACTTTGAGCCATTCTCAACCTCTCTCTAATAAGCCAAACTTTTTCAATGGCTTCATAAACTAGCTTGGGACCTATCAAAGCAACTACACTTACTTCAAACCAACCAACTAGAGACCTATATCTCCTTCCATACAAGGCTTCAAAAGAGCCATACCGATACTTGAGTGATAGCTTTTATTGTAGGCAAACTCTATTAACGGCAAGTGGTCATCCGAATTACCTTTAAAATATATCATTAATGCCCTCAACATGTCCTCTAGGGTCTGAATGGTGCGTTTCGCTTGACCATCCGTTTAAGGGTGGAAAGCGACGCTAAGCTTCACCTTAGTACCAAGCCCTTTTTGGAATGACTTCCAAAAGTGAGATGTAAATTGGGTACCCCATTCGGAAATGATAGATAGAGGAACTCCATGCAACTTCACTATTTCCCGTATATACAACTTGGCATAGCCTTCCGCCAAAAAAGAAACCTTAATGGGAATAAAGTGGGCTAATTTTTTCATCCTATCTATAATGACCCAAATAGAATCATGTTGCCTTCGGGTGCGAGGCAAACCCACAATAAAATCCATATTTACATCTTCCCAGTTCCAAGTGGGAATACTTATATCTTGGGACAACCCTACCGGCCTTTGATGCTCAACCTTAACTTGTTGACAATTAGGACATTTGGCTACAAATCCCGCGATATCTTTCTTCATACCTTTCCACCAATAGACTTCATGTAGTTCACGGTACATCTTTGTGGCTCCCAGATGAATATAATATCGAGAACTATGAGCTTCCTCTAAAAAAATTCCCTCAAACTATCAACATCCGGAACTCATAACCGACCTTGGAACTTTAGCACCCTATCTCCCTCTTGGGAGAAATCCTCTACGGATTTTTTGAGTATATATTCTTTCAACTAGACTAACATAGGATCAAGGCCCTGTTTAGACTTCACATCCATCACAAAGGACGATTCGGAACCATTATGGACCATGACACCACCCTTGGTGGAATCCACTCGTTGGACACCTAGTTGGGACAAAGTATGCACCTCATGAACCAATCTTTCTTGCTATCCTCTACATGAGCCACACTATCCATGGACAACCTACTAAGTGTGTCCGCTACCACATTAGCTTTGCCGGGGTGATAAAGGACACTCATGTCATAATACTTCAATAATTCTAACTACCTTCGTTGACGAAAATTCAAGTCCTTTTGACTAAACACATATTGAAGACTCTTGTGATCGGTGAAAACATCAACATGGACCCCATACAAATAATGCCTCCATATTTTCAAGGCAAACACAACCGCCGCTAATTCAAGGTCATGGGTAGGATAATTCTTCTCATGAACTTTAAGTTGCCTTGAAGCATAGGCAATCACCTTACCATTTTCATAAGCACACATCCCAACCCAATTCTAGAGGCGTCATAATACACCACAAAACCATGTGTACCTTCCGGTAAATTCAACACCGGGGCGAAAGTAAGTCTATCTTTCAACGCTTGGAAACTTTCCTCACAAGCTTCCGACAACAAAAACTTAGGTTTCTTTTGAGTCAAAGTCGTCAAAGGAGAAGCAAAGGAGGAGAACCCCTCAACAAACCTCCTATAGTAACCGGCCAAACTCAAAAAGCTTCTAATATCGAAAAGAGTTAGAGATCTAGGCCAACTCTTGACCGAATTCGTCTTCTTAGGATCTACCTTAATACCCTTGCTTGACACATTATGACCAAGGAAAGCTACAGATCTTAGCCAAAATTCACACTAGCTAAACTTTTTTCAAAAAGTTGGTGGTCTTTAAGAATTTGCAACACAATTCAGAAATAGTCAACATGTTCATTCTCACTTCTTGAATAGATCAAAATATCATCGATAAACACAATCACAAACATGTCTAGGTATTGCCTAAACACTCTATTCATTAGGTCAATAAATTCTGTCGGGGCATTAGTTAAGCCAAATGACATCACAAGGCATTCATAATGTCCATACCGAGTTCGCAAAGCCATCTTGGGAATATCATCCCCTCTCACCCTCAACTGGTGGTACCCCGAATGAAGGTCAATTTTTGAGAAGTAACTAGCCCTTTGAAGTTGATTAAACAAGTCATTGATTCTTGGAAGGGGATATTTATTCTTAATGGTCACTTTGTTTGATTGGCAATAATCTATGCACATTCTAAAAGACCCATTCTTCTTCCTAACAAACAATACCAAAGGACCCCATGGAGAGATACTCGGTCGAATGAAACCCTTATCTTGCAAATCCTTTAATTGTGTTTTCAATTCTTTTAACTCGGCCGGAGCCATTCTATAAGGAGGAATGGAGATAGGTTGCGTATGCGAAAAAAGGTCAATACCAAAATTTATTTCTCGCTCAGGAAGAATACCGAGAAAATCATCGCGGAAAACTTTCGGGAACTCGTTCACTACCGGAACTGACTCTAGAGAAAGGGTTTAAGATTCAACATCCCTCAACCCTAACAAGATGGTAAATACACCCTTTGGAGATCATTTTCCTAGCTTTAAGTCAAGAAACAAATTGACCTATAGGTATTGAATTTCCCCCCTTCCACTCTAAGATAGGCTCATTTGGAAATTGGAATTTAACCACCCGAGTCCTACAATCGATAGAGGCATAACATGCATGCAACCAATCCATACCCAAAATCACATCAAAGTCTAACATGTACAACTCTACCAAATCCACCAAGGTAACTCTATGGGATAGGGAAACGGGATACCCTCTATACACTCTCTTAGCCACCATCGAATCACCAACCGAGGTAGAAACCGAAAAAGTGTCTAATAAGACTTCGGGGAGCATATCAAACTTGACGGCCACATAAGGTGTCACAAAGGACAAAGTAGCAACAAGGCATAAACATTAATATGAAATACTTTTAACATACCGATCACAACATCCAAAAATCTCTCTTGGTCACCTTGTGATTGAAGAGCATAAAAGTGGTTTTGCTTTGGGCATTGGAGTTCGAACCGCTTGGAGGAGTTTGCTTATCTTCTCTCCCCTTAACCTTGAGCATCAGGAAATCTCTCATCTTGTGGCAAACCTTCCCACAACCATAACACCCATCGGTGCCAACTAAGCACTTACCATCATGTTTCTTCCCACGTTTGGCACAAGTAGGCCTTGTCATAGTAGGTCCCTTACCATTACCTCATTGAGGTTTAGGGTTAGACACCCTATATATCCTTGTCGACCCTTAGGTTAGGATTTGAGGAACCTTGGTTGGAGAATCTTTGTTTGAACCTTGGTCGACCTTGTCCATCAGACCTAGCATTGGAGAAGTTCTCATCACCGGTTCTAGCTCTTTTCACCTCTTTATTGTTTTCCTTGAGTTTGGACTCCTCGATTTATTGAGCATACACCATAAGCTTTGAGATATCCATGTCATGGAGGATAATTGCCGTACGGAACTCTTTTTCAACCAAGTCGGACACACCCGACATAAACCTACTCATCTTAGCCCTTGAGTCCGCCATCATGCTTGGAGCATATATGGAGAGTTGGGTGAACTTTAGAGCATACTCCTTAACACTCAAACTTCCTTGACGAAGGTTGATGAACTATTGTACCTTAGCCTCCCTCAACTCTAGAGGGAAGAACCTATCAAGAAATGCCTTTTTGAACAATTCCCATTCTATCGGGCCCGCTCCTACCGGTCTCTCACCCTTCCACTGACCATACCAAACTTGAGCCACATTCTTTTAGTTGGTAGGCAGCTAACTCCGCCTTCTCTTCCGAATACACCCCCATAATAGCAAAAACTTTATAAACCTCATCGATAAACCTTTGGGGATTCTCTTCCACTTTAGAGCCATAAAATTTTGGAGGGTTCATTCGAGCAAAATCCCTAACCCTTGAAGCAGACGAATTCACATTAGGATTCACCGGGGTTACAAATTCTCTATTGGCTTGAGCCGTCACGGCTTGAGCCAACATTTGTAAAGTAGACCTAAACTCTGCATGGGTCCCATTCTCAACCACGGGATCAACCGGAGCTTGATTAACTGCAGGAGGATCTTCTTCATTCACATTGTCACCCTACATTCTTCTTGTGTTAGCCCTTCGTGTATTCATATCCTGAAGACACAATTGAAGGATTAGGATAGGTACTTTGTAGAGCTAAACTCTATGGCACGACTTAATGATAATGAAAGAAGTGAAATTTCCTAAGCATCTTATAGCCTCTAATTCATAAATGTGCCACGCTTCACTCTCATGAACAAGACTCTACTAGACGTGGCTTATGAGACATCATCCTAGAATCATTCTAAACCTCATACACTGATTACCAAGTTTGTCATGACCCAGGGGTACCCCCTAAATGTAACAAGGCACATAGAACCCTGAAAGGCACCATGTAAGCCACTTAGCATATCACAACATAAAGCATTAGAACAATAAGAGTAAAAACCCATTTCAAGTCCAAAATTTTCATAAAAGAAAGTGTAAGTCTAGACTTGTCTCAATATAGCCATCTATTACAATACTTGAATCAAATAGGGACACAACCCTTTTAACATTGTCCGAAAAGAAAATATAATAATGAAACTACTAAATGAAAACATCCGTCCTCAAATCACGAGGACTCACCAACAAGCAAGGAGAAATGATCAATTCCAAGCTCTAGCCACAATGAGGACCGCCTTGAGAACTGGACCCTACACTTGGGGAAAGATGTAGAAAAATATTGGTTAGTACAAAACAACACTAAGTATGATAGTCATGCATAAAAACCTTGAAAAAATATTGCACTAAGTATGATTGTCATGCATAAAAACCTTTAAAACATGCAAAAAGGGACATTTTTGTTGAATGCATGCACTTCAGTAAGTTAAACATCATTTTTGAAGATATTGGAACAACATAAGTCATAAGCATAATCAACTCATAGATCATCATATCATAGGAGGAACATATCAAAAATACCCTCAAAGCATATTTGTGCAATGCATGAATAAGATCTCATAATCTCACCCATACTAAGTAAAGCTTCTTAAGTAGTCATAGTTCATAATTCATGTTCTTGTTCATAGTTCATAAGTAATGGTGGGAATAGGCCTTAACCGACATAGACCATGTTAGCTTAACATGGAATCCGGTGTTACCCACACCGTAAAGGGTTGTCCTACTTGCCTAAGGTAAGACCGTGGTTTTTTTTAGCTTTAGGTGAATCCACTAGCTAAATGTCCTATGGGGGCACATAGTTTATCGGATAAGGAGATTGCTACTAGAAACATGGACTCAACTAAGGTAGAAGGTCTCCAGCTCATGAGATACATACTTTGGGAACCCAGACTCAACTAGTGTAGAAGGTCCCATTGGGAAGCCGGACTCAACTTGTGTAAAAGCTTCCATCTCATATTCAATATCCACTTGGTGCTAAGTATTACTTCCCACGGATTACATATTTAGTCTTGACTTTTATGTAATTCATCATAAAAACATTAATATTCATCAATTCATTCATAATATATCATAATTACAGCATCAAATCCATTTTAGAAAGGAACCCATGAATTTGGAGTAAAACCATAGCTTTTAGGGATTTCTTACTTTGAAATTTAGAGTTTGAAGGGACTCCATGGATGAAAACTATCCATGGATGAAGGACTACAATACCTTAGCTATGAATCTCCAAAGAAATTGAGTGGAAAACCTTGCTCCTTCAAACCCTAGCTTCAACTTTCTTCTTCATCTTCCTTAAAGTTCTAGAGAGAGAAATTTTGGGAGAGGAGATGAACTTAGGGAAATTATTTGGGTGTTTGGAAAATATGACTTAACTTGGGTGAATTTGACTAAAAAATAACTTATATAGTGACCCTAAACTTACCCAAATACCCAAAAGAACTCCACTTCAATTGGACTTAAACCGAAATTACCCAAAATAACCCTCACTTAAAGTGAGTTGTCAGGGACCACATGGGGCTCCACGAGCCGTGGTCCCATCCATGGACTTGAGGCAGTGACTAGGCACTTGTGCCTTTAGCTCACACGCCCAAGGCAACCTCACGAAGGGCTCCACGAGCCGCGGTGCTTGCCACGAGTCGTAGTTCCTCTCGTGGGCCTTGAGGCAGTGGCTTGCCACTTCCTTACCATGCTCACACCTCCAAGGCATAACCAAGGCCACTCCCACGAGCCGTCTAAGGCTTCACGAACCGTGAAGTGGCTCTTGTGGAGAAGCCAAGTTGGGGATGCCTTAAGGAGGCTACTGCCTCACCACCACGAGTGGCACCACAACTCGTGGTGGCCACCACTGGTCGTGAAAATCCTCGTGGTCATGGTGGGCAGTGCCTTGGCTAAAATTGGGCAGCCTTGTCCCCTTTCCTTGGCCCTTGCCCATTTTCCTTGGCTCTTACCCTCACGTTTAGTTCTAGTTTAGCTCTAGTCTAGCCTACTAGTTTTCAGGGTGTTACAAATTGGCACCCACGCTAACCCTCCGATGGGAGAACCATTACTACAACCCAACTAAAGCCACTTAAAGACGCTAAACCATTTAAAGATATGAAAGAAGATTTAAATGATGGATAAAAACAGAGTTCCCATAAACTCCAAAGGTTTTAAATAAACAATTAAACAAACTATTGCAGAAGTCAACCCCTAGAACCTGAAAGTCATGCACCAAAACTCTACTAACGACAAGTCTAAGAACAAAACATAACAGCCTAATAGATAGTCTGAGTCCGAAAAGAGTGGACTTAAACATTAAAAATCCATGGCAGCCTGAAAGAACTGGTTCACCCTTGAATCTGGTCACAATCAATAGTCTCCTAACTGAGGTCTATCAATAGCCGCCTGAAGATGCCCTATACTCAACAAAGAAAGTGCAAGTGCAGTATCAGTACACAACCATAGTGTACTGGTAGGATCACACGGCTACTCTCATAAGCACAATATAAAATGAACAAATACAACACAGTAAGCACACATATACACAATACATAGATCATTCATCATTTTAGGAACAACATAAAATTACCCAATATCAATGTCAGGTAACAAGAGCATAATAATCACAAGTGGCTCTCTCATGGAACCCGCACCCAAACTATTAGTTTGTTGGAATGTGACACCCGATCTAATATATGTGTCGAAACATGACACTCGATCCAATGTATGTGTCGAAACGTGACACCCTATCCAATATATGTGTCGGAACATGACACCTGATCCAAATCAGCACAACCACAGTCACAATCACATCCACAATGAATAATACTCATAATCATACAATCAAGTTACAGTTCATTGTATATATTATTCACACATTATCATTTCGTTAGATTGATTCACATTCCCTATTCACATACATGCACGCATACAATGAAACATTTATCCGGCATATATCACACAACAGGAAATCAAATCATCACCTACCTCGAAACCAAGCTTGAATCCTCCTAAGACACTTGAGTCTTCCCTTTTCGGATTCTTTTCGCTTGTTCTTGGTCTAAACACAAGAAAAATATGCAAGGATCACTAAACAAGAACTAATTTACCCAAATTATAACAAATTTAATAACCCAAGACCAAACCCATGATCTTAATGTTCAGCTAGGGATTTTTTCCACCATCAACTTCAGGCCAAAACCCTCTCCCAAATGATAATTACCCAAGAATCTAATTTCTACAGATCAAAAAATGTATTAGAGGAGTAAAATCCTTACCTTTAGAACCAAAAATCATGGAAAACTGTCTATAAATCGCCCTGGTTCGTCTCCTAACTCTTAAGAACGAAGTTTGCAGAAAAATAACTAAATTGGGGTTTTTCACAACTTAAGTTTGCGACTGGTCCGCCACGCAGACCCCATCCTGCCACAGTGGCCCCGCCCTGGCGGATTACACGGAGACATAAACTCGTAATTTGAGTTTCAAGTTCCCATTTCACAACACACCTTCAACCTTTGACATTCAGAAACTACCCTTTCACGCCAAGATCAGTTTCGGGAGTTCTACTCGCTCGAATTCGATTCCGTAAAGTCGTACGGGATCCTTAACGTCTTAACTATCCACTCATGTTATCAAATTAATATTTAGATCCCTCATTTATTACCAGATTTTGCTAGACCTCACCTGACTCAGATTTCGTCCAAAACTGGACTAGGCTACAATTTTCCAAGTTACTACAAAAAGTTTTTTGGCTCAAATTCTTTTCCCATTGACTTTTCCATAACAATGGCAACAGGTCGTTACATTGACCTTAACACCATTTCTTGTTTTTTCTCATGAGAATCTTGAGGTAGAATATTTGTTTAAGGATAATTTTTTGTTTGATGATGATATGACTCTTGAGAGTGTTCATAGTGGAAAGCTTTATAATGTTGGAAGTGAAGCCACTCTTGGAGGCTATCAATTGTTTAAGAATCCAATATGGTATGATGACACACTTTTCATAGACGAAATCTCTTTTATGAAGATGATAGTACATTTATTGGAGAGGGTAGTGTTAAGATGAAAGAGGATGTGTATGTGTTAATTGTTACTTCTTCTTCCAATTCTTCATATGAGTTGTGATTCTTTAGTATATAAAGTGGAGGCTAAACTTAGGAACACCTTGATTAAAGTTCATTTACATGACACCTTTCTCTATTACTTGTTTGCATATGATGATGCTCACGCTTTTGAGTGAAGTGTGTTATTAGAAGATAAGAATGTCAACCGGGCAAAAAAAGTGTGTACTTGATCCATGTTCATAGATTTCCTTTCAATTTGACCCAGTAATGAGTTGAATTGTGGCACTTGTGTACTGATGCTTGGTCAAGATGACAAGCATAATTTGGATGAATTTGTTGGCACCTTTTCTTAGGATGGAAAGTCCTTCTTGGGGATTTACAATCCACTTGAGGGACCTACGTTGTGTATGAGGAAGGATAGTTTTCTAACCCCCTTTCTTTACTATCTCTTTACATATGATCTTGTTGATTGTGCATTTTATTGGGGTAGGAGTTATTTGTCAAGAGAATGTGAGGTTTATCCTAAACTTGTCATGTTGCATTTATGTGTTCCATCTTGTGATGTAATGAGTGTGATGATCCTTGAACCTAATTGTGATCTTGCATATAGAAACACCTTAGATGACCCTGATGTGCATGATACCTTTCTCTACTATCTCTTTGCATATGATGAGTCTCATACTTGTCTTAGATGTGCATTGTATGTAGATCAGGATTTCATTAAGGTATATACTTGTTTGTATGACTCAATTATGTGGACATATTATAATTTTGACCCCGATGAGCGTTTGAGAGTATTTGAGCTTGTAGTAGTGCCATATTTTGGGTGGTATTATCCTTCTGATCTGAGGTATAGCCAATTTCCTTATTCTCCATATATGAGCTGAATAGTCATGATAGTAGAGGATACTTGGTTGTTCCTTGAGATTGAGTCTCCTTGGTGTAATGATTTTTGTGCTTGCTATTGTACTAACCCTCATGCTATGAGGATATCTTGGTTGCTTGTCCGTCTTATGTTTTTGTAAGGTTCGGATTCAAGCATGAATCCTTTTCAAGAAGGAGAGGATGATAACAACGTGGATAACATAAATTATATTAAAGTTGTAGAGGAGCTTAATAGACACCAAATAAAGACATAATGTGTTGAAGGTCCATCAAAATGAAAAGGGTGAATAAAATATGTTATTTGTGCAAGTTGCATCTCTTAA